GACCGTGAACACAAGCAGTTGTCCGTGAAGTGACGTGAGCGATGCAGAGCGTTTTGGCGCAAGGATTGAGTTCACAGACGCGTTTGATGGTTCACGGCCGTGAACTCAGCTCTTCTCATGTTTAAAAGCTGAGCTGAAGGAGGAGAGAGGGAGAACCCACTTTTGTGAGAGAAACACCTTCTTCAGCATTTTAGTGAGAGAAACATAATCAAAGAGAAGAAGATGTTAGGGTTTGGCTTCAAGGCAGATTTTAGGAAGATTTCCCCAGGGAGATCTCAGCTCAAGGTTGAAGAAGAGAGGAGGCATCCCCAAAAGATGGTTTCCACCTTTTTCCCTTTTGTTCTTCCCACTTCTTCCAAGGAGTAGTCCTCCTTTCACTTGGGTGTAGTGAAACTCTAACTCTACCATGTAGTTTTTTGTATGTGGTTTGGATGATTGATATTGGGTATTGTTCAATTTAATGTTTGAGGCATTATTCACCATGATTGTGCATGCTTGTGCTTAGCAACTTAGGGGTTGTGCATATTTTGGGGAAAAATCCCCCTGTACACATGTTCTTAAAAAAATTTTCCAAAATACATAAGTTATAAAAAAAAATTCCAAAGTACACATGCTTGGCATTCACCGTTTTTGACAAACGCAGTGAAGACTATCGTCGCGTTTGACAAAGACGGTGAATATTTCACCGTTTAAAAAAAGCGGTGATGTATTCACCGTTCTTCTCTAAAACGGTGAACAATGATAAGGTGTTTAATAGTTCTCCCAATTTTCTTTGCTTTAAGTTGCCTGTGATCCTGGGAACGTATAGACGAGGAGCAGGTGTGGTTGGTCTCAGCTTTTCGAATCACCCAGGCACCCTTTCTCTTCATATTTGCAGCCCGCAGTTGCCACGTACAACCCTCTGCATCATTCTTGCATATGACATGTAATTGTTTACTGTCATAATATTTTACCTTTCACTCAAAATTGCGCCTCAAGGCCTCTTCGGTAAAGGCATCCTGCACACCATCCTTCGATGAGAACGACATACCCACCTCCAAATTGGCCGTCGGATTATACACTGGCATAGGAACAAAGTCGGGGGCACCATTCTGACTATCTAAAAATTGAGTTGGAACCTGTGTGTAGTATGGCGTCGGTGCCTTACGAAATACGTTTGGTTAATTAATATTATTTCGATAGTTTTGGATAAAATAAAAGAATCTGAAAAAGGTTTGGATAAAAAATAGACACTATCCTTTAATTTTAATGTAAAATCATTGAACAATAATGTTTTGGTGTCTAAACTTTATGAGATTTTCGTACCTACAATTCCAATATTTAGATTTCACTTTAATCCATAAATCCAATTCACCAATCCTTTTGAACTAATCCATGAATCCAATCCACCATAATGTAAGAGTATAAATTTAGTTTGCACCATACAAAATGTTTTATCACTCAACTGTAGGAGAAAATTCGACCAATTTATATTTGCTCATTACATGAAACAAAATAAAAAAAGCATTATATTCAATCAACTACAAACCCATACTCTCTCTTATTTTGAATTCTCTCTAAAACACTTACTGAGATTTGCAAAGGGTGCCGTCGGCACCCTCTGGTGACCGGCGGCAACCTCATCTTTCTTCCCCTACTTTGTTTCTTTTCCCTGTCAGTCCCTACTCCCTAATCCCCATTTTCCCTTCGTTTCGTCATTTCTTTTTCTCTGTTTTCCCTCTCTCCTTTTCGTTGCATGTTTCTAGCCATGGAGTGACTTTCATCTTCTCCCTGTGTGGGTCTCTTTCCTCCTCCTGTTGGGGATGTGTTTTTGCCCTCTGATCTGATCTATCAGATCTAGAGATGTTTCGATCTTAGATGAAAAGGAGGCCGAATCTTCTTTGATTTCGACTTGTCTTCTCCTCTTCTCTCCCTTCGTCTACCTCCTTGTTTCACCTTGCAGATCCTGGTGTTTCGGAGATGTGGCGCTTAGCTTGGACTCGGGGAGAAGATCCTGAAAACTGAAGTTCACCTCGATGGTTTCGTCACCGGTCGTCCTCTCCATCGGAAGTTTCTCGCTCGTTTTGACGTCGGGGAGCTTTGGTGTTTGGCCCGGCGAGGATTTGGTTGGAGGAGGGTATTGATTCTCCCGTCGACCTCTGTCCGGGGTGGTTTGCTACGACCGACCTTCTTGTGGTGGGAGGAAGGTTTTCTAGCGGCTGCCAGCGGCGCGAGATGACCAAGGGCAAACAATAGGATGCTAGGGTTTGTGATCTGGGCTCGGGTTGGGCTTTTGGCTGCGCCCTATTAGGTTTCCAGTTTGTGTTTGGGTCTTTGGGCTTTTGGTCCCTCTAGTGCTTCATGTTTGTTTGTGTTCTTTTTCTCTGGGCTTGGCCTATTTGCATTCTAAATGAAAACCTTTCAAAAAAAACATTAAATAAATGATAAAAGAGAGACAACTCTAAAATATTGCAAGAGCGAATTTATAAACTCATTTAATACATTTACGGGTACTAAACAAACTTCTACTGACAACTCATAACAAAATATGCGACATCTATATAAGCTTAAATTATTGCTACGGTGAAAAGGGTTCATTGTTGTATTGACGGCCAACTAAAAGAATTAGTCAGAACCTTTCCTTCACAAGTATGAATGGGTCCATACACGACTTACCAACAGTCTAGAGAATTAATAATTGACCCATGAACCACTAACTTTTTCAACACAATGTTGAGTCCAATTAAAAATAAATATATATGGTTATTACATATTAGAAATTTGTCATTTTGCACTATAGAAATTTGAAGGTATAAAATTTTAAGAGTGTTCCAGTTTTTATTCTTTTATCTTTTGTCTAGAGTTTTACTTTTTCACCCGGACTAGAATTTTCAACAATTATACACGGAATGTTTGGCTAGGTATCTACACATATCAAATAAATAGTTTCCATTTTTCTATAAAAAAAAGTAAATAATTATCATCTTAAATACATCACTATAAAAGGAATTAAGCCTCAATTATGCAAATTACAGTCCGGTACCTAAACTTAATAGGTCTTTAGATTTATAACCTTAATTTATTTTTTTGCCATATAAGTCCTCAAAATATTGATGGATTATTACATTTCAGTACCTAAAATTTTTGTGTATTACATTTTGTTAGCTAAACTTTTGAAGTTCTACAAATAGGTCTAATATTTGTATATATAAATAAAACACCCTCGAATAAATGGGTATCCATACCCAACTTATACACATTTAGATTATGGAAGTAAATATTCATACCATATCCAAACCCATCTACAAACTTCCAAACCCATATATAGGTCACCCATATCCTACCCATAATCAATGGGAATTTTTTCAGAAATAACACTGTTTAAAAAACAAATTCCAAAGATAGTACCCAACTCCAAAAAATTCCGAAAATAACACCCTTTTCCAAAAACCACCACCTGTACCAGCGGTTTGGGCAAAAACCGCCACTAGGGGGGCGCGTTTTCCAATGAAAACCGCACTGGTAGGGGGCGGTTTTGCAAACCGCATCCTCACCATGCGGTTTGTTTGCAGACCGCACCCCCACCATGCGGGTTTTTTTTTTTTGAAAAATCCTAACATAGGTGGAAACTTCAAACGAACGTATCTTTGTGTTCGGGTATCCGATCGTCGCGATTTTTTTTTATTCCGCGTAACTTTTTGAGATCTTGCAAGCCGAAGACTGCTGAAGGTGGTTTGGTACCGCCTTCGTCCTGAAAAAATGTCGTTTGCTACCCTGAACGAGTTTTTTTCGATTTCGTCAAACTTTGGACAACCATAACTTTGTGCTCCAAAATCCAAACGGCATGATTTTTTTTTTTTCGCATAAATTTTTAAGGAATACAACTTTTATCATAGACATAATTTCAAAATGTACGTGGATTGCTGAAAAGGGAAGGTAAGCTATTCCCAAAATTCTGTATATCCAAAAATAATTCTTGTTTTGAAAATTCATTCCTAGTAAAAATTGTAGTCCTTAAAAAGTTATGTGAAATGGAAAAAAAAATTCATGACGTTCGGATTTTGGACCACAAAGTTATGGTTGTTTAAAGTTATTGAGCTCTAAAATCCGAAAAGTTATGGTTGTTTAAAGTTATGGGTTGTCCAAAGTTTGACGAAATGGGAAAAAAGCTCGTTCGGGATAGCAAACGACATTTTTTCGGGACGAAGGTGGGACCAAACCACCTTCGGCAGTCTTCGGCTTGCAAGATCTCGAAAAGTTATATGGAATATAAAAAAATCACGACGATCAGATACCGGAACACAAAGATACGTTTGTTTGAAGTTTTCACCTATGTTAGGATTTTTTAAAAAAAACCAGACCGCATGGTGGGGGTGCGGTCTGCGAAACCGCCCCTACCAGTGCGGTTTTCATCGAAAAACGCGCCCCCGGGTGGCGGTTTTCGTCTAAACCGCTGGTACGGGTGGCGTTTTTGGGAAATGGTGCTTTTTTGGAATTTTTCGGAGTTGGGTGCTATTTTTGGATTTTTTTTTAAAATAGTGCTATTTCTGGAAAAATCCCGAGACTAGAAGAAGAAGGAGAAGAGAAGTGTAAATCGAATAGGGTTAGTCTATTAATTTCTTATTCCTTCTTACGTAAGATGTCAACTACATGTTTATAATAAAAAAACACAAAACCCTAATAACAATCCTAATTCTAGTAGGCCCCGCCCAACTCCTAAAACCCTGAATATTATGTTTCTAACAATATTAGGTTTCTGACAGGTAGGTATTTGAAGGTTTCAACTGGGTCCACTTGATCTCCAGTGGCATGATGTCAAACTGAGAGTCTGAGACCGATTATAGAGAAAATAATGTATCCATAAAACCAACTAAGCATTTCCCCAAATGGAACACAATTTCTGAGTCTTGGGTGAGGTTACCAGACGCAATCTAACACCCACTTGGTTTGTCCGAGAAGAAAAAGGAGCTAAACTTTTCCTCTTATCTAAAGATCTATATATATTTATTCCGTGACAACATTCAACAAGAAGCTACTTGTGAGAGTGAGTAGGTTCTAATGCATCTCAACTCACGGTCGAATGTGTATATTTTACAGGATAATAGGCATGCATTCACCGTCCTTCCTCCGTAATGTAAACGCTGGATGCGATTCCCATCTGTCGACCAAAGACCAACTTCATGAAGATCACCTTCTTTCCAGCAAACATTCACTGTTACCCCGCCTCGCGCCTTCAGTCCTTTAACGCAGCCATTAGGCCACTTGTCACGAGGAAGAGCAGGGAGCAGATACAGATCTTTCACGGTGCTTTGAACTAACATTTCTGCAATTGCTGCCGAGAAACTGAAAGGGCGGACATGAAAAGGAGATCAGTAGTGAGCAAGTAAAAAAAATTAAAATATTCAGGCATCTTGTACTATGTAACTATCGTGAGTATGGTGAACAAGATGACTCGGCTCGGTTCTCTCTAGTTTCAACAATTAAAGCATTAACCCAAAGATAACCAAGTTGGTGATACAAAGACATAGAATTTCTTTGAAAATCTCACACGGTTACTCAGAAAACTACACAAAGAAGACTAGCATGCATGCAATTTTCATTCTTTGCTTATGGTAACCATGAGCACGATTTCTCAAGCAAAAAAAAAAAGACAGTAAGATGATTACCCAAAGTTGGCATCAATCTGGAATGGCGGGTGACTAGTGAACAAGTTACTATAAAGTCCTCCTTCATATTCACTTTCATGAGCAGGATCCACCAGGACAAACAAATGCTTAACCATGCGGTATGCCTCCTCTTTCCTGTGTAAACGTGCCCAGAGTGCAGCTTTCCACATAGTCGACCATCCAGGACCTACCTCGCCTGGTTAGACAGTAAAACTAAGCACTTAAGAGATGCCAAAAATGTTAACACTCTAAAATTGCAAGTTATTCGATGGTAGTTCGCAGATTGAGAAATGATGATGGAAATGTATGAACTTTTGACCTTGAGCATTCTTTCTCATCAGGCACAAGCCTGATTCCAACTAGGTCTTAGTAAGCGTTTCTTAATTATCATTGTCGAGTTGGAGAGCAGTACCTCTCTTTGCCAGGGTGTTTTCTGCAGCTTTACTGAGGTCAGGATTCTTCTGAAGCGTAATAGTATGCCCAGGAAACACTCCAAAGAGGTGGGAGAGATGCCTGTGATGAATGTCTGGGTCAATGAAATCCAAAGCCTGTCGATTGAAGAAAACATGAGAAAAAAAATAATGCATCGTGCATAAGCTTCCGGATTGTCTCAAGGCAATGCAAAATAGTCCAGCTATTTGACCGGAACTCATAAGTCAAGCATCTCAAAGCAATAAGATAATTGAAGAAACATACCCATTCCATAATGGTACCATCTCTAGAAATTTTAGTAGGTGGAAGCTGCTGCTGAGCCTCGCGGACTTTTTGAATGAGTTCATCGTCTGTTCTTCCTAGAATCTGTTTACAAAGAGGGCACAAGTTGCTATGAATAAATATATGGAGCTGGAGCCACCATATACAAATGCCAAATTACTTTATTTGGGAAAGAGAAGTAAAATTACCTCAGCTGCAGAGAGAATTTCAGAGAAAACTTCTTTTATAATTGACGTGTCCATTGTTGTTGAGTAGCTCACACTTGCTTGCTTACCATCCGGGGCAATGAACATATGTTCAGGAGAAGTTGATGGATTAGTTTCCAAATATCTACCAGGACCTTTGATCAACCAGCTCAACAGGAATCGGACACATCCTTCCAGTAAAGGGTATGCCTTATTTTTCAGGAAATCCTAACAAGAAAATGGTAGCGCTATTATTGGAGGTTTCTGAAACTTGAGGCCTAAGGCAAAAGAATGCTACCTTGGCTACAAAATAAATAGACATGAAAGCATTTTTTAAATTTCAAAATCCTTAGTAAAAGCACTTTTAAAGCAGGAGTTCCCAAATTCTGCAGGCCCATAACATCATTTATAGTCATTCAATTTTGTTCTGCAGACATCACTGCATCAAATTCTTGACAACCTTATGGACAATTTACAGTCATAGAAAAAATAAATATATATTGACACGAAAAATAGTGGTAAGTGCTCCACGGTAAAACCTTTTAACCTTGTGCTGTAGACTTGTATCCTCAATGCATCATGCTAATTGTTTTCACTTTTAACAAGTTCTCCCACCTACAAACTTTAATTTTTTCCCAGTGTCAAAACTTCTCACTTACAAAAACAGGGGTATGTTTGTAAAACCAACAAATTCTTAAATTGTAGAGGTCTTCCTTTAACAGCATACATTTCTCTAAAACTGAACATAGCAACGGTTTTGGTTTCTGGTTCCCGTATATGCTATACACTGCATGTCTACTACTAAAGAGCCAAAATGTAGGAACTCATGCTAAAAACTCAAGATCAGGGTGCATATCTTACCGTGTCCATTGAGTAAACAAAATGCTCCCACAAATGGGTACAAAGCCAAGCCCCACCCATTGGCCAGAAAGCCCATACAGCTTCTCCGCGGTCTGGGGATGTTTTTGCCCATATGTCACTCACTTGATGTGCAACCCAACCATTAGCTTCATAGTTCACCTGCATCAAATTCAATTCACCGAGCCAGAATTACAAACTTAAATAGTAAGGAAATGAAGTGCACAGCTTCTTATGTCTTCAAATGAGGCAACAACTGATGAGGTTGCAACACAAAATAGTTCAATTCGGATACCCTGCAAGAACTAAGGATGGCTGTGAAAGTTTAAAGGCAATTAGCAGATATGCATGTCATTAGAGAGAAAGTGGTGGCTTTGTAATTGTGATGTGTTTGCTAATTGGTAGAGTTACATGGTGAGCTCACCCAAGCTACAAAAGCTAAACAATAATAAATAAAAAAACTTGCTTAGAGAAATATCAACGCACTGCATAGGTTTACAAATTCAGAATTTTATATAAACACGACGATTCTTGGATGGTTTGGCATATAAACTTGAGCAGAGTCCAAATAATCAAAATTCAAAGTAGATCGCAATATATCAGAAAGATGTTGTGAGGTCGACAACCAGGAAAAGATTGAATATGAAGAATTATAAAACCTCAGAGGTTCAGAAAGGGAAGGATTACATACTTTTGCAGTCTTGCTCCCATTGATCGAAAGAAAGGAAATGTAGTCGAACAAGGGCTCTTGACACTCCTTGAGATTGCATGATAGAGCCGGCCAATAGTTCATTTGTAGATTTATGTTCAAGTGTTGAGCACCGCTAAAAAAAACAAAACAAGGAACAGATTCTTCAAAGTGCACTTGCATGACCTGGTAGTATTAAATCAAAGAGATTGTGGTGACTTGCAAGACTTTCTCATGGGAGACATCTGTTGAGCAGCTCAAGGATTAGCCACAAGAAATGTACATTAGAAGTGTGATTATAATGACGCATAGCAGAATGAACGGCACTATAGCAATTGGATGAAAATTGGATGATGAACAGAGTCCATCATTAAGTTCTATAAGAATGAAATTGATTAACTGTTGAAGAAAATGCACAATTTATAAGAGTTAGTACACCAAACTTGCTTCAACTCAGAGCAGTATCCAACTTCGGGTTTCATGCAAGATCGACACCTGATCTCCAGTTAGCTTACTTTCAATGCTTCTGTACGTGATCTCGTGATTAAAGTGAGAAACGTAGACTTAACTTTATCATGTTAGCATAAGTTCCCTCAAATGTCTTAAATGTCAACCATAGGCGAACCTACATCAACAATGGACAGAGATATAGAAAGATAATTGCATTTAAAAAACATCAATCTGGGTAGAGAGAGAGGGAGATAGCATACTCCCATGGTGGCTCTATATCCTTATTCCACAAGCCCTGGAGGTTTGCTACCTGGGTTCCAGGTCTTGAACAAGATATAAGCAAATATCTACCATACTGGAACAGAAGTTGCACCAGAGATGGATCTTCATCAGTTTGAAAGGATTTCACCCTCTCTGCAGTTGATACAGTGGTGTTTTCACTTCCCGTAAAGGGCACACTTTCGTCAGCAGCAATTTGCTTTTCTGCATTCAAATGTGCACTCCCTAAGACATTCTTAGAGCTTTTCCAAAGCTCCAGAGAAACACGGCGAAAAAGACTTTGGTAATCATCCAAATGGTGTGCATGTATATCAGCATATGACAACTTTCTTAAAGAAGTCATTGCAGTTTCGCAATCTGAGGATGGATCTTTCTTGGAATCAATAGGATTCGTGAAAGGCCCATCAAATGAAGATGAAGCCACCAGCAGAATAACAGCCCAATCCGCACCTTCAACCCTCAACTTTCTACCATCCACATCAGTGATCACTCCTGTGTCTCCGCCAATTTGCAAGTTTAGCAAAGCAGAAAATTGAATCCCCTTTGGATTATCACCGGCATTCAACCTTGGCGGGATCCTTTTCCCTGGACAGCTCCCTTGAAAATGGATCTGATTGTTCTCTTGCACAAATGAATGGTGATGCATCTTGCTATCTATGTAAAGAGTAAATGACAAGGAACCTTTCTCACTTCCAGAAAGCCTCGTCACAAATGCTTGATCAGGATAAGAAGCAAAATATTCCCTCTTATATTCAATATCTCCAACGGAATATTTCACTGTTGTTGTAGCGGTATCCAAATCCAGTTCTCTGTGGTATGTTTCCTCATCATATTTGAGGTGCGAAGTGTCGAATTCAAGTATCATATCCCCAAGCAGTTGGTAAACCTTCAAGACAAAAACCCTACACATCAAGAGAAGAAGAAAAACTGGAAAGGAACCAAGAGTTTCCAATAAAGGATCAATCAATCTTCATGAAGAGAACTAAGTCTAACACCACCAAGCATAGTAGCTAACTAAGATTAAGCTGCATAATCCCATATAAACAGACCTCAGAAGGATGGTCAGACAATTTGATGGCTTCTTTAGTAGCTTGGGTGAACTGACCATCATCAACAAGTTTTCTGACATCGGAAAGAGCAGCCGGAGCATTGTGGTTAGTGTAGTTACCAGGAATGCCTGTCCACAGTGTATCCTCTACACAAGAATTCAAACAAAGATCAGCCAGCTGCGACAGGAAAAGCAGGGTTTCAATTCAACACATTCCTATTTTAAGTTGCGGGCAGCGAAGGAGTTACCGTTGAGTTGGAGAGTTTCCTTGGCAACACCGCCCCAGATCATGGCGCCGAAGCGGCCATTGCCGATGGGAATGGCGTCGGTCCAGTACTTGGCCGGAGAGGTGAAAATCAGCTTCAGCGGTTGGGAAGAAGGCTCTCCATTGCTATTCTCCTGAACGGCAGTTGGATTCCAGTAGTCCTTCTCAGCGGGGCGGGGAACGTGAACCCAACCGCCATCCTCCATTCTCTCCAGCTACAGCTAAGGGAGAAATGGCGGAGTTAACTAAGGCCCCGACGCCAACGATTTGCCGGAGAAGAAGACTAGAGAAAGAGAGGGAAGTCGCTGCCGCCTCCTTCCAACAATCCGACGCTGCCGCCTCCTCGCCTTAAGGCCCTCGACTCGCCGGAGACGGATTCTTTGTACGCAACGCCACTAAACAGAGAAGAAGATCAGAAAAGGAAAGGAAAGTTTTCTCCCGATCCCGCTCCTGTCCCAATAGCTCGACGCCGCCGCTTCCCTGTCCGCCTCGAGAAGAAGCTTGGAGAAGCAGATGGAGAACGGGAGAAGAAAATGGAGAGCGGGAGATGATTTTAGGAAAGTTACAGAGACAGGGGATGGGTGTGGCAGTGTGGGGAATGGGGAAAGTGACGGAGAAGAGAAAAATAATCTGGACAATAGCCTGGTGTAAAATATAAATGAGGAAACTTGAAATCTCATTTCAAATTTCCTTTTTAATAAAGATAAGAAACATAACCAGTTACAATAAATGCATTTGTATGACTCTTTTCAAAAAACATACAAGAAGGTTAAATTTAAAAAATTATGGAACTTTCCACTATGGTTAGCAACCGAAATGTCATTGATTCAAATACTGAATACCGAATGGCACTATTGAATATGTAGAAGCGATGTATAATTCTTAACATAGACTTAATTGTTACAACTACCATAAAATAACGATATTTTTAAACACAAAACTTTTGAGTGAATATGGGGCACATGTGTCTTCAAGAGGGGTAAACATGGAAAGGTTGAGTGATGTTGGTTTGCCGAACGCGGATGGAAAATACACTACTAATGTAAACGGGCTCAAATAGTGCCCCGACCCACTAAACGCTTAACCATCGTTGTCTCTCCAAACTTCCCATTAATAACCGGGTAACCTCCTCTGCCTCTAGTGTTTCCCTAGAGCAATTTTTGGAGGGGTAAATATGAAAAGATTGAGTGTTGTTGGTTTGTCAAACGCGGATGTAAAAGACGTTACTAATGTAAACGGGCCCAAATAGTATCCGACCTACTAAACACTCAACCACCCGGGTTCTTTCGCTACACCTAATATAATAGTGAAATGGGAAAGGTGTTTCCCCATTACAAAAATCCTTGCATCCATAGCAAAAGTAGGAAGGGTAGATTCGTCTTCACATTCATTTATTATTTTCTTATTTACAGAAAAAATACATAAGTGATGGCATTTGAATTGTGAACTCTTTAAGAAAATACAAGAAACATAACCAGTTACACTAAACAAATTTGTTTAAACTTTTTAAATTAAATACATAGAGAAAGCTTAAATCTGAAAAATCATAGGAATTTTCCATCACAGTTAGCTGAGCCACTAACTCTCCCCTAAATATTTTTTTGGTATTTAATACTTCTATTTTCATACTTTGGTTATTTTAATTCGAGTTTAATAATTAATATTTTTTTATTTATCTTATAAAAGGAGAATAATTTTAAAATCGGAAGCCTATGTCATTGGTGCAAATATTGCACATCGAATTGCAATTCTTTTTTATTTATCTTGACACAGACATAAAAAATATAACTACTATAAAGCCACAATATTTTTGAACATAGAAATTTTGAGTGAATATAGGCACATGTATCTTTAAGAGCGGGGTAAATATTGAAATGTTGAGTGATGTTGGTTTGTCGAGTGCGGATTGAAAAGGCGCAACTAATGTAAACGGGTCTAAATGGTGTTCCGACTACTAAATGCTCAACCATCGCCGTCTCTCCAAACATTCCCACCGGACTCGACAACCGCCTAGCCTCCTCCACCTATGTTTGTTACACAAAGCAATTTTCGCAGGGGTAAATATGAAAAGTTTGAGTGTTCTTGGAGAGCTAACTGGTGGGGTTTTTTAGCTTCTTTGACAGTAATGTGTGATCTCTTGACATTAGTTCATTTGGTTGATCTTCTAGGCTGACTTTTGAGTTGATTAAAGATAAACAGTGTCTCGGGCTCTCGGCCTACTAAACGCTCAACCATCGCCGTCTCTCCAAACCTTCCCATTGGACTTGACAACCTCCTAACCTTCTCCACCTATATTGTTATGCAAAGCACTTTTCGGAGGGGTAAATATCGAAAGGTTGATTGTTCTTGCTTGGAGAGTTGACTGATGGGTTATTTAGTTTCTTTGACAATAATGTGTAATCTCTTAACATCAGTTCATTTGGTTGATCTTCTAGGTTGACTTTTGAGTTGATTAAAGAGAAATAGCTATACTTTTTGTTGCCTTTGTTATGATACTCCTTTTCAGTATTATCATTTTTCTGATTTGAAGTGTTCTGTGATTAGTTTCCAGTAAACAAAGACTATTCTCAGTTGTGTTAACATACTGAATAGCTTCAATCATACAACTTTTACACAAAATTTATATGTAAGAGCTGAGATCATTGCTTAATTGAGCTATTCAAGCTATAATGTTGATCTTCTACATATAAAACATGATTTCTTTTGAGTGAAATAACCTCATGATTGCAGATAGGTTTTTACAATATGATGTTTTGTGATAGTCGTCATTTGCTTCCAAATTTAAAAGTGGAGTTCTAATTACTACAATATAAAAAAATATGAGTGATAGCCATAATTGAAGCAGATACAAGATGGTTTGATATCCTTCTCTTTGCAAGGAATAAATCCATGGTGAGCATATGTTGTCATTGGAATGACAAACCAAACTCTTTCTGTTTGTAGTATAGCATGTTGATATATACACATGTCTAGACCTGATCGATTGGACATCTCCACCTGGAATTTATTGACGGGATTTTTTATCATTCGCGTGCCAAGTAAGTTCTCTCCTTAATCCTTATATTTTTCTTAATCTGCAGATGCGCGAAACATGTACGAAATTGTAATTTGGGTGCTTCATTAATGTTGTTTCCATAAGATTGTATTATCTGAGGTGGTTGTTCTAAAATTGTGAATCGTGATTGTATATCCTCTAAGAAATTTTCAAGTTAAGCTATAAAATACGCTAACATGAGCTTCCTTTTTAATTTAGTTGGTAAGAGAGCAATGACCCACGTCAAATTGATTGGGGGTTGACAATGCCTAAGAAACGGTTTGGGTAAGGCAGAAATGGTTTATACCAAGGTTGTCAAACCGGTTTATGCCAGTGTGCCGGTTTAGCAAGTGGAATGGTTCGACCGGTGGCACATACCGGTTTAGCAAGTGGAATGGTTCGACCGGTGGCACATACCGGTTTGTGCCGGTTCATGCCGGTCAATATTACAAATAAAATTATAAATACTCATTTTAAACATGACATTTAACGTCAATACCTAAACATTTATACTTGAATCCAACAAATAACATCAATATTTAACATTTATACTCATAAAATAAATAATAAAATAATTTTTAACAATTAAAGTCACTAAAATAAGGTTATTTTACTTAGATATTCGTATATCGATCATGCCGGTCATATCGGTGGTGTCACGCCGGTTTTATGACCGTTACAGGTTGAACCAGGTACAACCGATGGCACGTAGGCCGGCGTGACAACCCTGGTTTATACAAAAGGTCATACTATGATCATATATAATGCGTTGGTAGAGATAGTCATCAATCTCATTATATTGTCGAAGTCACCGAGGAGAAGAGAGGAATCACCATTGGTACTCTAAATTTTACAAGGCTATTATAATGATCATTTCTTTCATTTCATGTAAATTTGTATTATGACTGAAGTGATATTACCCCAAGCCATAAATTGCAGCAAGGAATGATTGTTTGAATTAATGTGCACTAATGCAAAATGCTATGTAGCTTCCACGAAGGAGTAAGAGTGGACCAATCAGTATGTTTGCTGTCGAGAAGGATAAGAATCGTGATAATGGGGAGGGTTCATGACGATTGACTTATACAGATTGAAGAGATATAAGGTACTGAGCTGTAAGTCATTTGTGTGTTTAGTGTAGCAGTGTGGTTAGGAGTGATTTGGTAGGATTTCACAGTGGTAGGTGTACTGACAAAAGTTATTATCTGTTGGTGCTTCCACGCACATATTGCTTGCCTGTTTCTTTTGTTTGTATATGAGATTTCTAAAGCAGATTGCATGCATTGTATTTCTTTCTTTTTTTTTTCCTGTCATTTTAATTAACAAAACTATTTATTAGAAAAAACCTGCCGACGCATTCCATCGACTTGATTTGGACATTGCTGGTTTTTGTTTTCTTAGCCAAGGATTCATCGCCTTTGGTATCACTGTGGTTTTTGGTTTAAGGGCAATCTAGATTGGATTTTTCTTATAAAATCTCTTGGTGACTTCCATTTTTACCATCGATAATTGGAGCCAGGTAAGCATTCCTTTGGTTTTTTCATGTTCACTCTAGGGGTATCATGGTGAATGGCAATAGTGGCTATATTTAAGGCTAATGGTTTGGTTTGGATTGCCCTACCTCCATCATCGCCGCATACATGTTAACGGGTAGTATCAATTATAATCAAATAGTCAATTTCTGAGACTACGTCCGGTCAAGGGGCGGGTAATGAGCTAGTAATAATAAATAAATAAAAAAGAAATGGTTTAAGTGAAATGCTGTGTTTTTCTTTTCCCCTCCGCTTACTTCGTTTTTATTTGAGGAGCTCATCTACACAATAAATAAAAGCCAAATGAGAAAAGTTGAAACCCCATTTCAAATTTCTTGCATCCAGAGTGAAAGTAGGAAGGATATTTTGGTCTTCACAATTACTTTTTTTTATTCATTAAAAAGACACTTACTAGGATTTTAAACATGACCACTTTAAAGAAAAGCAAAGATCATAACCAATCACACTAAGTACATTTATTGTGTCTTTTTAAATTAAAAACATATAATCACAGAGAGGAAAAAACAATTTCCCCATTTCAAATTCCCTACTCCAGAAGCGTTTGTAGGAAGGGTAGAATAAAGAGTGTCAATTTTTTTCTTTTTCCTCAGTGGAACGGGCCAACTTACCGTACACATGCAGATTTAAACGGGTCCAGGAGTGTCAATTTTTTTCTTTAAGTCCTTTTATTTCTCCGTGGTGGTAAAATATATATGAAAAGGTAAAAACAATACTCCTTTTTATTGCTAAAAAGAAAAAAAAATTAACAATAAACTACTGCATGGATTCTAATAGGCTAACCGCTAATCATAAAATAAAAGAGTTGAATGGGTCTGACCTAAACGGGATTTGCCCATCAAGTAAAACAAATGAACATCATGGGTTTGTCATTCTAAAACAAGCTAAAATATAATGTATTTTAAAGTTATTCAATGGTTCAACCTCGACCAACCCAATTAGTCCAATTTTTATCATTTCAAATATATATTATGTAATTATTTGATATCATAATGATTAAATTATAGTGTATATTATAGGGAATCATTTGGTATTTGTTAGTAAAAAACTAAACAGAAAGATCTATTTTGTTATTTTTAACATCAAAACGATCCTAAACATTTTCAGTTTCCTTTCGAAATTCTATAGTTTTATTCCCGAATCAGTGATGTGCAAATGGCGAATTGCAGTCATCTATTTTCTTACATTATTTTATATTTTCAAATAGAAAGTTTAAAAGTAAAGAATAATTAGAGTTTGGCATGGGTCAGTCAAACAAGCTGAATTTCAAGTTTTGGCCTGTTTTGATCAAGTCTAATTTATAATCACATGGTTCCCTGATACCCGATAAAAATCTCAATCCAAACCAGTTTGGCAGGTGAGTCCGTGTTTACCACCATTTTCAAGGGATACAGGAACAGTGGTTCCTATCCCAAATAGTGTTGTTCATTCTTGATTTCTTTAAATTTTATCATGGCTTAGGAAAAAAACCAGAAAGCACAATGATGACAAGATGAAAGTTTTATAAAGCAAATTAATCGGCCAACGAGCCGAATAAAAGCTAGCAACGATTGTGAGATGCTCATTTTCCGAAAACCGGCGGGATAGGCGATTTTTATTCGATTTTCTGGAATTCGGTTTCTATAAAACTTACTCCACCTCATCATATTACCAGAAACAATATTGTTTCACAAGGTAACAGGTACTTGATTGTGGTTCATAAGGCTGATTTTTGATTCATTGCATCATTCATGTCTCTTTCCTACTAAAATTCACTATTTTTATCACGTGTTTCCTAAAAAAAAAACTATACAACAATAAACTATACAACCCATTACATTATCAAATTTCATACCTCACCTTCCTCCGGCCAAATGGCGGGGACCCACGCTAGTTTTCTTTACTTTGGCTGGCACTCGCGGAGAAAGCTGCCTACATTTAAACCAATATCCAGTCCAAAATCATGCTGAATACATCTAATTAACTAACCCTGGTTTCTCCCACCAAAAAAAAAAAAAAAAAAAACTAACCCTTGTTTCCGCTAGCATCTTGCTAACCTCAAAATCTTAAAGTCTGATAACGTGAACTGACACTCTTGGTAGTACATTCACATCTCTTGGGCCGATACCATCACCCTCCATCTCCACCTCCGCCCTCGATTCACTTTCCTCTACTGCCGCCATCGATCTATCTCCCTAATTAACCGTCAACACCTCGGATTCCTCTTCAATTCTCAACCCGTAACTCCTTTTATCCACCACTTTAGCTCCCCTTAACACCCTGGCGCCGCCGCCTCTGTTCCTCCTCCACAACTGCGTCCATGGACATGAGTTCATCCTGGTGAATCCCAAAGAGTGCATTCCAGATCTTATGACCCTTCAATGGATTTTGCAGCAACAACAACACTCTTCGGTGGTAGGAAGTATTTGTTTTCTTCCTCTGCCAATTTCACTGAAAAAGAGTGCATGGTTGCCGATATACTTGCATCGCCGCTCACAAGCCCAGTGGATCCGCGCTCTTAATTCTGGAATTCACGCTCTACTTATATAAAATTCGTGAATTTTTAACGCTTTCTACAAAATTCGTGTTTCTGCAAACTAGCGCTGGAGCAGTTTAGGCGAATTAGGTAACCTAAATCAGGTCACCCAATTCGTGGGTTGACCCTTGCCGCTCCTGTATTGGAGCGTGAAAATGCGCTTTTATAGTAAAGCGTTAATAATTCGCGTATTAAACTTTATCAGTGTGCGGATTATATTAGGAAGTTCGCGACTCGCCTGACGAATTGAGCTTTTATAGAAGATAAAAAGGAAAAGTCTTCTTCGAGCTGGTCGTTCCATCGCCCCCGCTGCCAAATCAACAATCGTTGATGCAGTCCTTCGTTTTCCTCCTACAAGCTATTGTCGATGAACTGAGTTAATATAAAGCAAAGGGAAACACTTGTCCTTCTTGCCACCGACCGCATTATCTCCTCCTGCTGCAAAATCGATGGTCGCCGATGCAGTACTGCTTCTTCCCCTGCAAACTAGTGTTTTCCAATTAGAAGTTGATATGTTATGAGAAGTAACTTTGAGATAGAAAAAAGATTATCTAGCGTCTGCATGGCTCAATTGATGAAGGAAGGAGAAGAGAGAGATTTAGATTGTTCTGGTGTTACATCAGAGAAGAGGGGGGAGAGACTAGAGAGAGGGGAAGTGATGACTAGTGAGTTTAATGGTGGGTGAATGGCAAGGATAAGGGGAAAGTAAAAAAAAATTGGAATACTTAATTTTTCTAAAAGAAAAAGCGAGTGTTCTAATTTTTCTTGGAATATTTTTATCAAGTATTAGAGTTATGTTATTAGGAAAATTAAAGCTAAAAACTTCATATTATTTGTATGGTACGTATACTATTTTAGAATTAGTAAACATATTTCAAATTATTTATATATAATGCATTATATAAATATATATAAAAAATAATTAACATAATATAATAATGACGCTCTCTTCACGCTTTCGATTTAAATTTTTTGTATGATAGATGCTTTCACGCTCTCGTTCTCGCTCCACGAACTGGTTACCTAAGATGTGATACGAAGAGAGAGAATGGTTGAGAAGCGATCACTTCCTTGTAAAAGATAAAGCAAATTTATTTTTTATTTATATTGGATATGGTTTTTATAATAAAAAATATAATGGAGATGATAAGCTTTTGTCCGATCTCAGATGAAAATATTGCTGGTGTGATGATTGTATCGCTTATAAATTATCATTATTATAATGATATTAATAATTTAATAGTTATAGGTGTTTTCTTTTTCCGTGAATATAAATAGCTAGGTACTTGGGAATTAATAAAATTTGATTTGATAGTAATATTAAATTATTAATTAATTAACATAACGTTCTGTTCACGCTCTCATAATTGAATTATTGAAAAATAGACGTTTTCACGTTCTCGCTCCACGTTCTTGTTACCTAAGTAGTACTACAAGTTGTAATTTCTTCGGTCAGTTATCATCTCAAATCTTATTATAAAACGAATTTGGGCAGGGGCAGAGTCAGGATTCGAGCTTCGGGAAGCCGAAAAGTTTTTACTCGTATTACCGTAAGAGGCCAACAAAACCCAAAAATATAATACGAACGTTAAAAAGAGTATTGTTAATCATCAAAATAGTCAAAGACACTTTTTAAAGACAATTAGATTTGGGCATTGCTATTCGTCGCCCTAAAATACTTTATTCGTCGCCCTAATTAAGTTAAATTTACTCTAATACCCTTATTTGATTTATTTGTCCTTCTTTTTGTCATCCGGATTTGGGTCAAATCCTATGATTGTTTATGACCAAGGTTTTCGTTAAAAACACACACATTTAAGCCAAAGCTCTTCGCCAAGATTAGAGGAGAAAGGAAGTTCGCCCAAAAAGTGGATCTGTCGGCGGCGGATTTTGATGAGACGGGGAAGTTGATTTGAACAGAGGGGATCCATATCTGTTTTTTTTTGTTTCGCCTGCGCACAGGGAAGGGCAACGCCCATCCAATACCCTAACTCTATTGGAGTAAAATTGATGACTAAATTGGCGAGAAGGATGAAATCAATGGCCTAAGGGCTAAGGGGACTCCCTACAGGAGAATTCATGGCAGAATTGGGGCGGAAGAAATCAAGATGAAGGGGAAGAAAACCCATAAGATAGCGGAGCTGAAGGATGAATAGAATTTTGATTCTCCATTGCTGTAAGCCTGTAACCACCACTTCCATCGCCACCGCCGGCCAATGGACTTAAAGTAACTTCCAATGAGCTACGACGGAGGGAGAGAGAATTGGGCTAGGGGTGAATGCGTCATTTCGATGTAATTTAGGGCGATAAAATTCAAATTTTAGGGCGACAAATAGCAATTCAGTTAGGGTAAATTACAAGTTTGGTCACTAGACTTACTATAAAAGTTCACGTTTGCCACTAAGATTTGTTTATTTTATCCGTAGTCACTTAAATTAGTTATACAGTCCATATTTGGTCACTCTACGTTAGTCTCAATTAAATTTGCTGATGTAGCAGTCGACTCTCATAGTTGACCGTTAAATAAGTGACATTACAGTTAAAAATTATAAAAATAAAATTTAAAATTTTCCAATTTCCAACTCTATCTTTACACCCATTCATAACCACCTAATTTCGTCAGTACATAATATTATAGACGAGGGACAAAATTACAACAAATAAAAAACTAATCCAAACCAATTAGTAAAATACTCCTACAGCCGGTAGCGCCGCCTGATCTCCTCTTCCTCGATGGCGGATCTCAGGGTTTCATGGAACCTCTGGCGATGGAGGACTCGATCTCGAAAGGCTGGCAGCACTTCAGATCCAGCACTCGAACCTCCCAGCTCCCGTCGCCAGTTGCCATCCCACTCCGCCACTCTCTTTCCCATTTGCCAAACCGTTGGAGAAGTAGCAAAAGCAGCCGGAGAAAGAAGAGAGGCTGCAGTCGGTTGCTCTGTTCCTTGCGAAAAGGCCCAGCAGGAAAAGAAGAAAGATCATCAAAGGGAAATAGGTTAAGGAGGAAGAAGATATATATTCGTAAGGGGAACAGTTAGGAATTGGGTTTCTTCATGGCTTCGTCGTCGATCAGGGAATTGCTGGTTTGGGTTGCTGGGTTCAAGGATTCAGGTGCTTCCCATGGCAGCTGGCTGTCAATTTTCTTCTTGAAAGATGGACTCAATGTCGACTCTTCCACTCTACAGCTCCTCCAGAACTCCGCCAATATCCCCATGGTCGTTAAACCTCTCTACGGCGTTATCTCCGACGCCATCTATATCTCCGACCAGCACTGTATCCCTTACATCGCCGTCGATGCAATAATAGGAAATTAAATTTTATTTATAGTTTTTAATGGGTATAAAAATGAGTTGGAAATTGGAAAAAGTTTAAATTTTAGTTTTTTATTAATTTTTAATTGCCATGTCACTCATTTAACGGTCAACTATGAGAGTTGACTGCCACATCAGCAAAATCTAACGGAGACTAACAGAGAGTGACCAATCTAACGGAGACTAACAGAGAGTGACCAAACATGTACTGTATAACTAATTTAAATGACTACCGATGAAATAAATTAATATTAGTGACAAACGTGAACTTTTATAGTAATTCTAGTGACCAAACTCACAATTTATATTCAAATAATTTTTTCATAAAAGTGTTTGTCTTTTTAAATTTTTACTACCTATATAAAAATACTGAACAAATTATCTAAGTGAAATAAAGAAATCAACACATAATTAGATTCACACAAATATAAAACGGCGAGTGCCAAATTTTAGTCATAACTTTTTTTTTTTTGACGAAACGATTCCTTGCATTAAACAAGAATACGAAGTTACATATGACCTAGCTACCATCGAAGCCAGGCACAAAAATCAAAACCATTACAACCCGTAGGAAACAAAGACAGGGCCTTCTTAGCCACCAGATGGGCTACCCTATTGTTCTGCCTACCCACAAACCTAATCTGAAACCCAGGAAGCGCAGACAGAAGATGACGAATTTCCTCAAAGATTGCCCCACCAGCAGCATCATCGATGCTCCCTGTGTTGACCTTGTCAATGACAACCTTCACATCCCCTTCCATCCTCACAGCCACAAACCCAAGTTGGCGACACCACCGGATAGCATCTCGTAACGTGGATAACTCTGCTAACATGGGGTTCAAAAGGCCATTATACATCACACCCTTGGCTACCAGCACCATACCCGCTGCATCTCGCAAAACCATTCCACCTGCTGCATGGGACCCGTCACGGACTGCTCCATCAAAAGAACAGATAATTCCTCCCACCGACTCCCCCTGGCCAACAGGCAATACCATACTCGGCACCCTAGCGGGACCTTCACCATCCCTCCTCGCATCGTGCGGAACCTGCAACCACTCATGTACCTGAAAAAGGAACTCCTGTCGTAGGATAGATGGAAGGATCTGTAACCCCTCAAAAGCCACCGAGTTCCGACCCTTCCATATTCTCCATAGCAGGCACACCAACCGAACAACACGAGAAACCGAAGCATCGCGGTCTAGAAACCGTCGGAAAAAAATCTCAAAGCATCCCGTAGGAAGACTCTCCAACTCCGCAGCCTCCCAAAGCCCTCGCGCAACAGGGCATTCCAGAAAAAGATGCTCAGTAGTCTCCTCTCTTGCCCAGCAAACTGGGCACCGAGCAAGAACTAGAACCTTCTTTTCCAGCAAAGCCTCCATTGTTGGCAGGATTCGATGCAGCAGCTCCCAGACAAAAAACTTGAGCTTAGGTTGAACAGGTAACCCCCACACCTTGATCCATAGGCCCCGATCCATCGTACTACACCCCGATTTCCCCGCCCCTGGTGTCCGGGACTTTCTTTCCGCCAAACGATATCCGGACTTCACCGTATATACCCCAGAAGGGTCCTCTTTCCAAACAAGTCGGTCCGGCATGGTCTCCCTAGGAAGCGGGATCTGCAAGATTGCACGAACCGTCTCTGGCGTGAACAAGTCTCCAAACAGTGAGAACACCACTCCCCTGTCTCTGGATCAATCAGCCCTGACACCATCTCATGTCCCTCCACTGGAGCATCCTCTCGCAATCCTGGGGATGACGGATGAATTTGCGGAATCCATCCCTCCGACATCATCGGTATTTGATCACCCGAGCCAACCTGCCACGCCATGCCCTGCCGAAGCACCTGACAGCCAAATAGCACTCCTTGCCATCCCCATGACGGTCGAGACCTCTTTGTGGCCGAGAAAATGGTTCCTTGCGGAAAATATTTAGCTCTATAAATCTGAGCCAACAAAGAATCCGGCTCCGTATGAATACGCCAGGCCACTTTTGCCAGAAGGGCCTGATTAAACAATTCAAACTGCCGGAAGCCCAACCCCCCTCATGCTTACTTTGGCAAAGTCTCTTCCAAGATATCCAATGGCTCTTCGGACGCCCCTCCACAAACCCCCACCAGAACCTCGCCATATGCTTATCTAGCCGCCGGCATGACGAAGCAGGAATCTTGAAACAAGCCATCGCATGGACAGGCAAAGCGGCCGCCACTGCCTTGAGAAGGGTCTCCTTAGCCGCAAGCGATAAGTGGCGCTGCTTCCACCCCTGTATTCTCTGTAGAAGTCTTTCCTCTAGGAATCGAAAGGTATCCGCCTTTGACCGGGCAACTAAGGACGGGAGACCCAAGTACTTATCCTGAATCCCAATCGCTCCCACCCCCAAAATCTCCGCCATTGCCTGTTTCTCCTCCGTCAGAAAATTCGCACTAAAGCAGACATCAGATTTCTCCAGGTTCACCTTTTGCCCACTTAGTGCTTCATACTCTTCCAACACCCTCAAAAGATCATTGCACCCCTGCACCGACGCTTTAATAAAAAGATAAGAGTCATCAGCGAAAAAGAGATGGGACACTCGGGGGGCCCTGGGGCACACACGAACCCCCTCTATTTTCCGTCTTTCACTCGCCTGCTGCAGCAAAGCCGCAAATCCTTCTGTACAGAGAACGAATAGCATCAGTGATAATGGGTCCCCCTGTCGCAACCCCCTAGACGATTGGAAAAACCCCGAGGGTTTCCCATTCATAAGGACAGAGAAGCTTGAGGTAGAAACACATTCTCGAATCCAACTAATCCACTCCGGGCTAAAACCCAGCTTTTTTAAGATTGCAAGTAAGAACGGCCACTCAACTCTATCATAGGCCTTTTCCATATCAACCTTCAGAGCTAAGTAACCCTTCTTACCCTTCTTCTTAATTTTCAAATAGTGCATTATTTCGTGTCCAATTAACACATTATCGACAATCTGGCGATCACGAATGAAGGCATTCTAACCAGGGGATACAATCTTTGGTAGAAATCTCGACATCCTTTCAGCCATAATCTTCGATATGATCTTATAAACCACTTGACACAGGCTAATCGGGCGCAGCTGGCGCATATTCTCCACTTTATCCACTTTGGGGATCAACGTAAGCCACGTGTGATTGAAGCTTCGTAAAATACGCCCATTCACAAAGAATGATTGTACAGCCTCCACCACCGAAGACCCGACAATGTCCCAAAAGCTCTTAAAAAATTTGCCAGTGAACCCATCTGACCCTAGAGCTTGCGTCGATCCTATTGAAAAGACCGTACCCCGAATCTCCTTAGGTGTCACTTCTGCCGTAAGGCTAGTGTTCATGTCATCAGTGACCCTCCAATCAATGTGAAACGCATTAACCTTCTCCCAAATTTCATTCCCTGCCAATCCCGACGTAAATAGATGTGAATAAAATCCGACAGCCAGATTGGCTTTCGCATCTACTTCCACCACCCACTCACCATCCTCGGTCTGCAGTCTCTCCACAAAGTTTCGGCGCCGTCTTGTTCTTGTGACAGTATGAAAATAGGAGGAATTCTGGTCTCCCACCTTCAGCCATCGAACTCTGGATTTTTGGCTCCAATACTGTTCCTCCTCTGCCCATTGTCTCGTGAGGTCTATCTCCAAACTATTCACCCGGTCCCAATCAATCGGGTATTCTTCCTTTATCGCGGCAATTTCCGACTCTAACGTTCGAATTTGTCGCGCAGAGTTTGAAGTACCCTTCCGGCTCCAATCATGGAGCCGATGGCGCAATTTCTTTAGGCGGGTCCAAAGCTGGTACATCGGAGAGCCGTGGATCTGCTCTTGCCACACCTCTTCCACCATCGGTTTCACTTCCGGATTATCCGCCCAACGGGCATCAAACCGAAAGAGGGATCTCGCTATTCTCGTGTGGGCCTTATCCGAAACAATGAGCGCACGGTGATCAGACCCTAGGTCCTTGCCATGATTCACCATCGCCTCCGGAAACTTTTCCATCCATCTATCCGACACCAGTGCTCTATCCAGGCGTTCCTGTATACACGCATCTCCCATTCTCCGTGGACCACTTAAAAGGATTCCCCCGAAGTCCCAAATCGTGGAGTCCCAACCCATCCACGAATTCTCGAAATAGTTGAGAATGAGCTGGAACCCACGGAATTCCCCTCAATTTTTCGTCAGAGGAAAGGATACCATTGAAATCCCCTACCATCAAGTATGGTTCACGTACTCCCGCACAATAATTGCGTAAAATATCAAACTGGGAAACACGCTCTTGAGATCGACAACTCAAATAGACAAACACCACCACGACATTCATTTCATTAACTTCCAAGCCGACAGAAATAAAAAAAAGAAGAACTAGACAACACTAAGGCACCGCTCTCAGGGGACCACCCTACTACTAACCGTCCCGCAGAATCAACAGCATCCACTAAATGGAAATCAGAAAAACCTAGACCTCGTAGTCTACGAGAGATCACTCTACGACGCGAACGAGTTTCAGAAAAGAAAACAACATCAGGATTATTGGCGCAAACTTCCCCTAATATCGACTGGAATGTGATGGACGGCCCAATCCCACGCACATTCCAGGCTAACAACCTCATTTATCGCTTTGGGGCCACTCTCGGCTGGCTGCCTCCACCGTAACATTCTGGTCTCCAATATCTTCGCCACTGGGATCATCCAAACACAGCTTCTTCACCGGTGTCGGGTCTTCTGTAAGGTCCTCCACCATTGCCGCAGCTCGCTTCTTTTCTTCACCCTCCTCCGGATCCGGCGCCGTCATTTGGAATGCCACCTGCTTCCCATTGCTACCATTCACCACTTCCTCCACCACGTCTACCTTCCTTTGGTGAATTTCCAACTCCTCCTTTCCCCCTTCCCTCTCGTCCACCATCATTTCTTCTCCCTGCATCTTTGCACTTTGTCCTCCCGCTTCCACCTTCTTTTCTTTAGCCTTTCCTGCCAACTGATCATTCACTAGCTTAGGGCCCATGTCCTTTCCTGTCTTTTGATCTCCAGCCATCCCTTGCACACTAGCATCTTTCTTTTTCAAGGGTATCTTTATTTTGAGTGATTCTTTTTTCCCTCCATTCCCCAGGTTTAAGCGAGCTTCCCCTGTATCTTTTCTTCCCCCATTGCTATCCACCTGTTTCTTCTCACTTCTAATGATCCCTTCCTTCTTTTGATTGGCAGAGTTCGCCCCCACCTCCCTCCTATCTTCCCTTGCATCCGCCACCACTCCAGCTCCCTGCT